CAAACAAGATAAATAAAGACATAGAAAACCAGCTATTAATTTGTGTTATTCTGAAACAATCCTGTTGAAACTAAAGCTTTGTGAAGAGGGAGTTTTCTTTGGCTTCCTTAATTTTGTAATTGAAAGTGAACATAGGGTGGTAATATATATAATTAAATGCAATTTCATGGGGGAAAACATGAAAAAAATCGCAGCTACAATACAAACATTCAACACCGGGCTCAAATCACTATGTGGGTCATTATGTAATGTGTCCTGTTTTTTGAGGTACTGGCGGAAGTAAGACCTAAATTTTCATTGGGAGTACCCCGTCTATCCAGTTTAATGTCAACTTTGCCGGTCTCACATGCTTATGAAAAAATAAAAATTAATACATGGATCACATGTGGGTGCTCTAGCCCACATCTTTACCACATTTCGCTGTCTGCGGCCAGATGTGGGAAGGTGGTTGCTCACAAAACAAAATAGAATAAAAAAATAAAATAATTTTTAAATACAAGACATTAATGGGGGGGGGGAGAGACAGCAAAACTGCCTTTGAAGCTAGCATTCCGGCCCTCAATGATGTTTGGACATAAATACCAAGATGTTAAAGTATTACTAAACTAAGCCCAACCAAAATTATTAGTAGAGCTCCTATCCCTCATCCCCTTTCTGCTACTGTCTGGATCTTCAATGGTTATAAAGAGATTCACACAGTAGCAGATTTTATATAGGGAAGGGAATACAACTGCATTAATCAAACCTATTTCAGATATGAAATGTCCAATAAGTAATCTAATTATTTCCTTAACAATAGTTTTATAAATTATTTTTATTGTGCATTTATAATTTTGTTTAACTCACTATTTCAAGTTTATATAAATACCTTTTATATTTATTATAAAATAATTTAAAACATTTAATTAAGGTTTTTCTCATCAAACACGTTAAAATCGGTTTGTGTACTAATATATATCAATATTAAATATTAAGAATTGTGCATTACTACATCTGTGAACGTATAATACCCTGTATGACATTTGTTGGTACATTACTGTTTGGATAGGGAAGTCGAAAATTTTGAAACGTGAAATTATTTCTTGTATCATAAATATATATATTACTATAATTATTAATCATCTTAATGTTTAAATCTAAATAATGTACTTCAGTATTTGATATAGAAGCGTTCTCAATCTGTAGAACTGTAGGATAAATGTTACTAATATAATTACTTATTCCTGGACTATTAATACTAATCAGATCGTCAATACATTTCTTAGAGAAAATAATTCAGGGCTTAGAAAATTATTTATAAATTTATTTTTGTAATAATAAGGATATAAATTAGCAACACAGCTTGAACAATTAGAAATATCCAATGTTTAGACACTGTATTTCTTTTTTTCTCTACCATTAAACAAGAGACTTACTGAAGTCTGAATATTCTATATAATTTTTAGGTATCTGGATTAAACATATCCAACTAATTACAATTGATCAAACAAATTAAACGACTCTCAACGCAGTCTCTAATCTCTTGCTCTCATCGGCACATAATACATGTTAAGGAGAAGTTGATGGATACCAAAGCGCTGGAAAGTCAGTGGAGAAGTTAGGCTATTATTCAGTGCCTGAAATTACAACTTTAATGGTATGCTTTATTGCTATGTGTGAACGCTGAGAGTGCTTGGTAAACCTAAAGGAGAAAAGTGAAGTTATTTCCAGGATAATGAAAAGTATTGCTACACTAAAAAATAATTATTTTTCGCCAGCTTAGGTGAAATACACAATTAAAGCAATATTGTACAACTTTACAACAGATACAAGTTTGCTCTTTTGTTCGATTAAACAATAACTGTTGAATACAGATACTTATCCTGCATAGTATTGAACTCTAAAGATGGGAATTGCATTTCTCTAAAGTTTGCCACTTCTCTTTACTTTTAGATTTCAAGTAAGGTGACCCAAAAGTAAATCTAATGTTTTTTGTTTTTGTTTTAAATAAGTACAGGAACAGTACACAACAGCACTTCCCCACCACGGTGAAATAGATATCTTTCAGTTGACCTATGACCTATTCTATTCTCCTTACATGTTTGTTTACATTGTGTTATCTGGATAAATACCGCTATAGGAAATACATTTCTTCTGTAAGTCTTATAGTCTTAATGTTTGTTATTCACTATTTAACTTGAACGATGCCAAAGACTAGTGACATCTCATACTAAAAGAATAAGAAAAAATCTAAAGATAGAAGTTATAGTAAAATTGTAAATACATTTATAGTGCTGAATGAGTTTGTTTATTCAAAGTTCTGTAGTTGCTAATGTTACTGTATCTTTGCCTTTCGGGCTAATTGGAACAATAAAATAACTATTAGACGCATGCAAAATACGTTTATCTATAACTACATAAAAACTATAGTTTTTATCCTTCTTTTAACCAGCTAGACAAAACTTATTGTTCCAGTAGTTATTTACAAACAACGTCGTAAGGACTAAATACAAAACACAATGATTATGCAATTGTTTGAGTAGTATTTTAAGGTAACTAAACAAATAATCTTTATTAAACTTTATATTTGTTCAAATCTTAGTTTAAGTATTGAGAGATAAGGATTCCTAGCGGGTGACTAAATTGAATATTGTAAACAGCTTTACAGTGGAAATTTTATTTAGTAGTTAAAACGGCACTGTCGAAAACAACTGTTACACTTTGAATTTGTAAATGATGTTAATCATGCATTGATTGAAGATGTCCAGCTCTTATGGGGGCAAAACGTCGCTGTTTTAATTGCTTAAAAAACATTTCTAATGTAAAGTTGTTCATGATATTAAACTGAGGTTGAAGTATGTTGTGGAAGTAATAGTTTTGAAATGAGAGGGCAGCACAGTACGCTAACCAGCAGCTGCAGTTGAACAGTTGCGCAGTAATTAAATGAGGTTAACACAAAGTTGATCATTTCAAACCTCTAGAGTACTTTACTCTTTTGCTCCTTACTGTATGTATACTTTTGTGAAATCAATTGAAATCAATACAGCAGAAAAATGACACTTTCATGTTTTGCACAAAAACAAAAACAAAACTTCATTCAAAAGTATCCATTATTTCAATTATGTAATAAAAAGAAACATGTCACAACTGATCTTGGCATTTATAGTTTTTTTTATATCTAATTGATAGCCATAAATAGTAAAGCTGATATATTTCGGTTTTTTTAGGTTTATTCCTAAA